AATTATATTAAAAATAAAAATATTATATTAAAAAAATTAATTATATTAAAAACAAAGCGACCAACACGTGTGCTTTTCTGGATACTTGTGCTTTTCGGACACGTGCCAGGGTATGACTATCCTCCACTAGATGAGCAATCCGGTGGACTAGCACACGCCACACAGTGGTCGCAGCAAACCGGACACGGTTTTTGTTTTGGGGTTTATAGTGAATCTTGCGGTGTTTGACGATTTGAATCCTGTTATGAATAAATTGGTGTGGATGCTTGGTATTCCATAACTTGGTTATTAATTGTAAATTGTAAATTGTACTTGTGGTTCTTCGCCTGCAAATTTATGAGCATGTATTTTTTTTTCTTACTTTTTACATGTAAAAAAAGAGAAACAAAAATCACAAATATTACACAAAATGTTAAAAAATATTATTTATGTAACTTTATTTAAAAATAAACAGTTAAATAATATCTAATTATTTAGAATGACAGAAACAATATATGTGTATTTTTCTCTAAAAGAAATATTAGGAAGTTATTTTACAAAATAATAATAATAATAATAATAATAATAATGTTTTTCATGATAGTTTAAGGCATGTTTAGAAGGTATACTTAAATTATAATTTTTTATTCTAATATTTGAAATTGAAATTTTTTATAAGAAAAAAATACTATACCAAAATAAATAATTTAAATTTGAGTATACAAAACAAATAGAGTGTCTTAATTTTTGTTAATTGTTTTATAATTAATCCTTAGTTTGGTCAATAGGTATTTAAATTTTTTTTTGTTTGGTTAACAGAGGTCGGTCGATGGAGTAATACCTGATTTTCCAAGGACGATTGTCAATGTAGGCTTTAAACTCAAAAAAAAAAAAAAAAAGTTAAGACTTTAAACTTTTTAACTTCAGTATTTGGGACTAATTCACATTTATTATTAGAAAATTGTAGTAAATAAAAGATTTTTTTAAACTGAATTAAATAAACAATAAATTTTAAAATTATTTAAAGAAAATTACAATTGTCACAGTAAATGATTCATTTTTATTGATAAAAAAAACTTATGTAGTAAAAATTTCTTTAAAAATTTTTATTTATGTGAAAAAAATCTTTTTACCAGTTGTAAGAAGAAAATTTAGGTAAAAAAACGTTTTTACTAGCTATAAATGAACCATTTACATAATAAAGGATTCATTTACTACATAAACTATTATTTATTTCAAATAGTTTTAAAATCTGTTATTTACTTAGTTTAGTTTTATAAATTTGTTATTTAATACATTCTCCCATTATTATTTTTTATCGACTAGACTACATGTTAAGGATTCACAGATTTGTTCAAATGCAAAAATAAGATTTGTGATCAGATTTGTTCATCTTACAAACAATGAAAAGTTCAAAATGCATCAATGTGAATTGCACCCTATAAGTAGTTGTTTGGAACTATTCTAAAAAATGTTCACATGATATCCAATCTTAATACAACCCGTCAATACAGTTGTGATCAATAACCTCAAGACTGCGTATGTTAATGTCAATATTATATTTGACGCATAAAAAAAAAGTGAATGATTGGATGGAGTCATAATGTTACAAGAAACACTAATTGGAATTAGCTTTAATTTTTAATACAAAACGATATATTATTAATTATTTTAACAATCCTTTTTCAAAACTTTTGCCTAATGTCCTGTTACTCTGCTTCTACTGTAATTTCTTGACCTTACTAAGCGGTAAGAAAAGATACTAAATGCTCAAGGAAGCATAAAAACATATTATCAAAACAATGGACAAATGGCACACTAACGACGAAAACAGAAATTATAGTATATAGGCCAATTTTAGACCTATGAAGAGTATGATAAAAATAAATAGTACTTTACAACTTAATTTGAAAGTTGTCCTTTATTTTCTCTGTTTCTTCTTCTAGATCTATCTCTCTCCTCTCTACCCATCTCTCTCTCTCTCATCCTTCTCTCTTCTCCCAACGGGCTCTCTCTCCTCCTCTTCTCCGGCATCATGACAGAACGCTGTCGCTGTCGAGTTCGTCGCTATCATCGTTGAGGCAGTGAGCATCGTAATGGCTATGTTAATCATCGTTATTTGTTCTCTCTCCTCTTCCTCTTTTCTTCTCCACTCGTCGAACCTCTCCTTCCGACGGGAGTAATTAGGTTAGAGCTTTTACTCTCTGTGAAGGTCTAAGTGTAATGGGACTATAAATGCACGTTAACAATGCAGAAAGTGATGAATTTCGCAAAGAAAAGCGCAAAACTTTGGTGGCGTGATTCGACGAGCGTCGAGGTTAATTGTGATATGGGCTTTGTTCGTCTCAATACCAAGAATCCAAAGGAACAAGAGCACGATAATCAGAGGTCAAACAACAAAGTAATTGCATTTTAAAGTTATGAGTTTTCCGACCACCGATGGTAAATGCTTAATTTACGTGGTAAATGTTTCATTTACCTTCAAAGCATTTTGTGTCCACCGTAAAATGAAAAATTTATCATGTAAATGGATCAATTATGAATAAGTAAATGGATCATTTACCCTAAATGATTCATTTAATGTAACATTTTAAAAAAAAATTTGGTAAATGACTTGCATACCAAAAGACTTTCGGTCAATATTACAACTCTGGTGACAACTCTAGCGACTTCGGTATGGATTATAGCCCGACGACTCCGGCAAGGATAATAGCCCGATGATGGCAATGGCGACAGCGGTGCTCCGGCGAAGGTTCTGACTCCGACGACAGTTTCGGCGAAAGGTATTAATTATGAGAAAGAGAGGAGGAGAAGAAGATGAGGGTATTTTAAGAATTGGACCCGTTTAGTTCGCTGATTCGAGTTTTTAATTTGAGTTGATATGTGATTTTATGTGAGTACTTTTTACTGTAGTAAAAAAATTAAATGTGACTGTTTCTTAAAATTTTTTATTATAATAAAACTTAAATTTTAAATCTGAATCAGCGAAATAAACAAGAGTACATGTCTATTTACAACAATTATGCTATTTACTTCTACAAACAAACTTTTAAGCTTTTAAAATTTTGGCCTGTTTCCCTTCGTAGAGGTCTCTGCAGCTGACATAAGAGGGCGACGTTTGAGAGTGTAGTCGTACATAATTATGAGATTTCTGGCAGCTCGATTGAAGGACAGATGTTCTTAGGTGCAAAGGGTTTGATGTACTTGTGATTTTCATATTATCAGGAACATGAATACCACCACTTTGAGTCCTATTATTATGAGTGATATATGTTGTTGTGTCGTGATTTGAGTCCGTTCACTTCGCTGATTCGAGTTTGTAATTCGAGTTGAGATGTAATTTTATGTGAGAGCTTTTGACTGTAGCAAAAAAGTTAGATGTGATTGTTTGTGAGAGCTTTTTACTGTAGCAAAACTCGAATTCTAAACTCGAATTGGTGAAGTGAACGGGACCTTATATTATCGATTTTATGTATTACTACTGAATACACGCGGGTATAAAAAAGACATGGAATATTCCCACACGCAGTTGAAACACAACAGCCTTTCTCTTACCATTTCGATTCACATTTACAGGAAACTCGGAATTGAAAAAGAAGAAAACCTAAAAAATAGGGGGTGGGGCACAAGAAGAATTGCTTGGGGACTAATTTACGGTGCACCAACCCCAAAAGGGCATTTAATTACGCCTCAGCGGAAGACTTTGTTTCTGCTAAATTGCCCTCAAGCAAAGGTGTTGTGTTTGATCTGCCACCGGGGTTAACAGGATTCTCACTATCTTTAAATCTATCAACGCTCTTGAGAAATATTCCTGTCATGATACACACATTGTTGAAATAATTAAATAAAAGGGCATTTAATTTGAAAGCCGCCATTCTTTGAGATCCTAAAATAAGATTAAGCATGGATAAATAACGGCGATTCAGATAACTTGTCTAATTTAAATATTTGAAATGCATTTAACTGGCTTTTTTGTTTGAGTCTATTAAATAATCTAACATAATATGATTGGTTTAGACATAAAAAAAAAAAAAGACAGGAGATCTCAATCCATTAAATGTCACAAAATCTTGTTAAAAAAATTCAATTTGGTAGAATTATGAAAAAAAATAAAAAAGATTCTCTAAGTCTTATAAGGAAAAGTAATTATAGTGCAAAATAATGTAATTATCAAGGCTAAAGAGATTTTTTTTTAATTTTAATCATGCCCCCACTGAAATTATACAATACTACTATAGGAGGTCGATTATTACTGTTCAAAAAACAGTGTACTTCCATTTTTCTATAATTCTAAATAGGGTACTTTTGGGAAAACTTCTAAATGGTTATGCATGGACAAGTAATGCAATTGCAAACTAACAAGAACTTACCTATAAACCATATTCCCGCTGCTGGAAAGAGAATAGACGTCAGTATAAGGGCAGTCTTCCTCCAGTTGTTTATATTGTCCTAAATAATGCGCCAAAATAAAACAGGTAAAAATAATGCTAAACAATGTAAAAGACCAACAAAGCTTGTACAATTACTTGGAAAAAAATGATTCTATTAGCAACTAATATCTATCTTGAAGGTTGAACATAACAAGAATAATATTACCATAAATTTAAAAAAAAAAAAATTATATTACGTAGTGCTAGTTTGTAAATTCGTGAACAATTTGCAAAGGAATGACACATGTGAGATGCACACCTGGAGAACTCCAACAAGAGGCGACGATGGGACATCACCAAAGATGTGAATTGAAACAGTAGAAATAGCCATTGATAGTGGCCTCATATTGGGTGCAACACAATGCAGGCAGATAAAATTTACAGGGCCCTGCGGAAGGGAAACAACTGAAGTCTGTCAATAAGTAATAAAATGTTGTTCAATCTGAACACACCTGACCTATAGCAGCCAGCCACGAAATATGCGTTTTCATTTAAAGTTTCTTATTGATCGAACAGATTTGACAGAAATATTTGTAAGATTATGTCCTAGTGTGAAGGATTTTGAAGATTGTAGAGCAATGTACAAAAGCCATTATATCTCAAGGCAAAAATGTAAATGACCCAAAAAGTGAAAAATCCTACAGTTACAGCACCCTCACCGTAACGGCGCATCCAGTTTCTTTCACAACAGGTGCATGATTTTCTCTATAGTAACTAGTACAGAGATTAAAAACAAAGCTCGAATGAGGAATTTTAGAAGCTTGAATCCACTTTATTTCACAGCAGGTGCACAGTTTTCTCTATAGTAACTAGCACAGAGACCGAAAGCTAAGCTCTGGTGAGAAACGTTTGAAGCTAGTGTTTCTTTTTTCTTTTTTTTTTTTAATGAGCTAGGTGCATTATTTACAAACAATTACAAGTAACCATGGCAGCATTAGCTGGAGCAGAATGTAGCATGTAAATGTAATAAAAGAATTACCGAGTAAAACAATATATGAGAAGCATAGCTAAATTTGTAAAACACAGACATCGCTTTTGCTTTTAAAGGATATACCTGAGTGGCAAAGACAAATAGTTCACCAATTGCAAAAAATGCTAGGAAACCATACAAGCTCTTGAAACAGAAGGCACTGAAACAAAAAACCGCCCCGATAAATGTTGTTGCTGAAAGAAGCTGCAGGAGTCCAAGAAAGATATGTAGTAGTAGTATAGAGCATAAAGGGAAAATCCGAAAATGGAAATGAAAAGGAGACCGAAATAAAGATGACACTAAATAAATTTAAAAATACAATTTAGAACATGCATGCCTACTATAACTAGTTATTTCAGTTTTTAATTTGACATGTGCAAAATCTTAAGCATATTTGCTATAAAAAAAAAAAAAAAAAAAAAAAAAAAAAGAAAAAAAAGATGACACTAAATAAATTTAAAAATACAATTTAGAACATGCATGCCTACTATAACTAGTTATTTCAGTTTTTAATTTGACATGTGCAAAATCTTAAGCATATTTGCTATAAAAAAAAAAAAAAAAAAAAAAAAAAAGGAAGAAGAGCAGAAAATAACAAGGACTACTCACTATCATTTTTTTTAATAAAAAAAATAATCCCTTGTCTTTCTACATTCAAAACACTCAACAGGATGAAAGTAAAGCATGTAGAACTTTGTAGACAACAGAATAAGAAAGCTAAGAGACGGAACCTACCTTAAAAGCATTTGAAATAGAGTTAGTCATGAAATCCAGGACAAAGCCTCCTGCTAGAGTGCCCAATATTCCGCACACAATAGTAATGCCTCCGAATATCATGTCTGCATTAGTCTGTTAAAAGGAAATGACATTAAATGATTAATGTCACTTTCAAAAAAGAGGAAAAAAAAGCACATTAATATGTCCAAGTTCAGAATCCATACAACTTATGAATCATTTTACATTTACCTTGCATAAAAAGAGTATAAATCAGGGAACTGAGAGTTCTTTGTTTCTTTCTTTTTTATCGGACAGGGAGCATAAAAATTTATTACACAAAAAGAGCACAAATAGAAAAAGATGAGATTGAGAGATCCTCAACATGAATATTAAAGAGCTAAATAGTTAAATGACATAAGATGAACGCGAAAAGTCAAATGGAAAAAGCTTACCATATGGTATATGTTATAACCAGCCTTGGGCCCCCAGTATGAGTAAGCGCCAATGACAAAGTTGTATGCTATGTAACCTATAACAATTAGTTTCACACTTAGGAGAATGCATAGACGGATTGATAAAAGAGATGATAACTGAATCATCCGAGGTGTTCTTCGAATGAGAATTATCAGCACGTAGGTTCTAAGTGGTAGGTAGATAAAGCAAGTGAAAGAATTACCTAGGACATTAACGATGTACACCTTATCAACCAAAAGCACCTTCATATCTTTAGCAAATCTTAAGAACTGATTTCTTATTTTGCTTACAACTGTTAACCTGCCCAAAATAAGATGACAATACCAAATGCACATTCATATTGGGCTCATTTATATAAAATGAACAAACTGAGCAGTAATTACAATAAGCAATTGCATAAAGGAAATCCAACTGTTGGCCTGTTTTTCTGGCCATTTCCACTAAAACTTCAATGCCAAATAATTCTCAATTTATGGTATTGGAAGGGCCGTGCAGGTTTGTCCAAATTAGAAAATTTTTAAAGTTAAATAAGCATGAACTAAATTCTGCGTCCAACTAGACATACATTGCAGTTAATTTTACACAGAATATGGAAATATGTACAAACAATAAAATGAAAGGATAGATATGACACTATGGGTGTAAATGGGACGGGGCAAAGCCTTGGCCCATTAATATCGCTATATGACACAAAATGCCTGGAAACATATCCCCATATTCTACCGGATTGCATCATAGGAAGGATTAGAGACAACATATTACTGTCAACATTGTGCACCCGATGTATCAAAGTTAAATGGTGCCTTCTAGTTGGTCAGATACATAATTCAGTCTTCCACATTCTAGTCCTACATAGATGACACAATATGATTTTGACACAAGTCACTTGGTCATAAATTCACAATTCAGTCCCCCAAGTTCCAGTTCCTTGTACATAGTTCAAAGAAAATTTTGCTTGCGATTTCATCTTGCTTAATTGATCAGTCAAACTCAGATCAAATCTTAAAAAGTTTGGACTAAGTTCTAAAAAGTCAAGACGCATAAGCGCGCAGCACACGCACACGCACACACATGCACACACACATCAAAAACTCCACATTTGTACATTTCTAGAGTTATGCTTAGTCTTTGTGGTTAGTTTTTCTATATTATTACATATATATTGGCTATATTTAAGGTAATTGATGCCTAAAGCCAGAACAAGCTTGTTAAAGATAAATTATTTCTAGACTGTAGAATAAAAGAGAAGTGTGAAATGTTTGGTAACCAAATAACATGGTAAGTGACCTCACTCGGAAGATTCATGTGAGCTTCTACGTCTGAATTGTTCCTCCCCTGAGAATGTTTCCAGCTTTCCATTGGAAACATCTGAATCTGTGCAACAAGTTTCATAACCAAATTATTGTGGCAACAAGGAGAACAATGCATAAGAACTTAACAGAAAACTTGGTCAAATTTCAAACCATTCTGCATCTAGATCAACCATAAAATACTTCAACAAAAAGATTTTGTGCGAACGTTAATGCTTTGTAATCATTACTATTATATTCAGCACCTTGAACTTGTGAAACAGTTGTCTCCACGGCTGTCAGTGCCTTTTTTGAATCAGTGGGAGAAAAACCTGCAACCATAGTCCATAAGTTGTTCTTTAGTAAAAACGGATTGAAATTGTTGCAGGATCACAGCAGTTAATATGGAAATAAAGGGTAAATCCCATCTATGCCCCTTGAACTTTCATGCTTGTCCCACATTTCCCCCCTCAGCTTTCAATCGTACCATCCACATTCCCTTAATCTCCCAAGAAGTCTTTACTTTGCACCTTCCATCTAACTCCATTAACTACTTTCCGTTAATAAAGTTTAATTTGGAGGTACTTAGATCTTTCACTATTTAGCCGATATAAAAGATAAAAATATACTAAAAAAAATATCCAACTTATTAAGTTTATCATCTATTTTTTCTTCACTAGTATTGACATTTTAAAAAATATCTGTTAGTCAATTATTATTCTTTTAAAATTTGAAAGATACATAAAATATTAAATAGTAGATATGCAATTTTTTTTATTTTCTTCATTTATTTATTATTATTATTTTGCAATTTCACGTTAATTCAAAAAATATAATCGTTTTGAATTCTTTTCAATCAATTATAACCCTTTGACTTATGTTATATAATAATATAAACATTGGTTTTGTCCTTTTCATCACACTTTGTGCACTTCACCTTTTCTTAAGGTAAAGCTCGCCAGTTCATTTTCATTTATTAATCCTTATAAAACTTTATGATCCTTATAAAAGTGAGGTTGTCTTTTTCATTTGTTTTATTGACCAAAGTATCACTAAAAAACTTTACTGATCCTTTTCTACCAAAAATAAAACTTTAGCCCCCGTTTGTTTCATAGGTTCGAACTACTGTTCAAACCATTTTGCTACAGGGTTTCCTCTCACCAAAATTAAATTTCTTTTTGTTTAAACTTTTATGTACAAACCTATGAACCAAACAGGCCATTAGTAACAGAAGATAGATAAATGGGCTGACTGCCCTTGGGAGGCTGAAAGAAGACCATAGAGGCTATTGGTCCCCATCAAACCCTTGACAATTTGAAGATAGGTGCGATATGGGGCTTCATGAGAGATTAGGGGGTGTAGATGGTACATTTGAAAGTTGAGGGGCAAAACTGGGACAACCAGACAAGTGTGGAAGTTCAGCGGGTTCTGACATTTACTGAGAAATACAAACAAAAAAAAAAAAAAAAAGAAAAGAAAAAAAAGGAAAAGAAAATGCACCTTTCATTTGCAAAGGCTTCATAACGAAACCTAGAACAGCAAAAGGAAGCATCAAAATTGCCTCCCCAAAGAATGCGAAACGCCAATTAAAATGGTCGCCGACCTATATGTCCAAAGATGCAAATAATGTCTTGCTAGTTAACATAATTAAGACTACTAACAAGAAGGCTGAAGAAAAAAGCTAGGAATAACAAAGACAATTCAAATAGTTATTTATAGTAAAAAATGCAATCCATAACAAACATTTATGACTTAACAACTTATATCTTGGAAAAGATAATATTAGAAAGGGGACCTCACAGGTAGCAGTCAAGTATAGAGACATACCAATCCACCATAAACATAGCCAAGTGCATATCCTGTTGGAATACACATGTAGAAAATCGCAAGCCACGCTGTTTTCTGATATAAAATGCCGTAAATGACAAAGTTTAGGACATATAACAAGAAAATGTAGAGGTTGCTACAATCATTAAACTAACTGTTAAGTGATAAAAAGGTACAAGTAAAATCAAAATAAGGGGAAAAAAATCAATGTAAGCAAAAAAAGATGAGGAAAACTTACTCATGACTAAAAATATTTCCCAGCACATGAATTTTTTTTTTTTCCCAAAGAAAAGCTGAGGTTCCTTTAATTTAAAGGTACGATAACCATCTCAACTTTCTTATTCTGATGTCTCTGCTTAAAATATTGGGCCGTAAAGGTTGCAAATTATGCTTACTATTGCATCAGGAAGAATCATAATGTCATATCCATGTTCAAAAACAACTTAACATAGATATTTGAAGATAATAACAAACATAATTAAAATTCCCTAAATGTTCCTCCCAATACATATGGAAAAAAATTTTCCCTGAGTTAATCTCTCCATACGAAGAAGCCATTTAGGATAATTTTTATGGACAATACAGCCCTTCTCAGGGACCCACTCTCCCATTAAGTTGGTCTAGAATCCATAGATGATGAGATATATTAATTAGAAATCTTCCTGTAATAATGATGCTTCTGAGCATTAATCATATTTACACCAAAAGCAATTTGGAAAAAAAAAAAATCAAGACTCAGATAGAGGTTAGGAATAATACATTTGTAACGTCTACACATAAATACCAAATATTTCTTAAAATTCAATGTCTTCAAAACTATTGAACCCCCATTTTATTTTTTATAAAATTAGCCGGAGCCTCAAGGTTTGTGAATCTTCCTACGTCCTAAAATGACAAGTTCCTTGAAGTTCAATGCAAAAAAGTAAACATAATTGACGAAGCTAGTGAACTAAATATCGCTATTATATGATCTTTTGATCAATAGTGAGAGCAAGGACCTACATATACCAAGGAATGGAGTCAAGAAACACAATAAGAGTAGAGAGACAAAACCTGAGCAGTTGGGGCATTATCATCAATGAACGGAGCTGCAAGACTTATGAATGAAGCCTCACCAACACCAACTAGCCTATTAACACACCATTAAGTCTAGTGAAAATCAAATCAACCAATAAAGGTCTCCAATTACTTAACTTCAGACAATGAGAATCAAGAAGGATAAGGCAGTTACATTCGGCAGATTGTAATAGACCAGAACTCAAATGACAAACCACAACCAGTTACAGCAATAGTCCAGACTGACAATCCAGCTCCAATAAGCCGAAATGGATTTAGACTGCAAAATTTATATGCAAACAGAAGTTATCAAGCTGAAATAAATGCTTACAGAAAATTGGATTTAGTTGTGTTGACAATATAATTCTACATTTGAACGGGAAGGCTAAAAAACGGAAGCATGCAGCCAAGAATTTGGTTAGAAACGTATTCAACACAAGATGATATCATAATATAATACCTTTCTGCTAATGAAGCAAATATTGGAGAAGCAATGAGAAGTCCAACCATAAAAGCCGATGAAAGAATTCCATCTTGAAAATTGTTCAGGTTAAAGTCCCCCCTGTATACAACAGGTAACTTAAAGATGATCAAGAAGTTCAAGGTTTCATCTATTTTTAGTGAAAACATTATTTATTGTTTTCACTTATTTTTTTTTTTCCCCTTCTGGTAAGAGAAAAACAATACAAAATAATAGAGAATAGGTACTGCAGCCAGCCATCCATTAATTAATTGAAAACTGAAAATGTTGAAAGAAGGAAAAGTTCTTTTCATTAATGACTGAATCAAATAGAAAAGAAAGAAGATAAGGTATCCTTAATAAACAGAACAAAAAACACAAAAACCAAAATAAAAGGTATAAAAAAATCTACAGATTAAAGCTAAAGGAAAAAACATGATACTTAACAACCTGTCACGTCTTTCCAATTAAGAACAATCATGGAAAAAGGAAAAGCTTTAAAACCTTTATCTTTCTAATTTTAGGTTTTGCTCACAGAAGATTCTTTAAGATATAGATGTGGTTTTTCAGCGATTGACATTTAGTAACTTAGAAGGCTGATTTTCTGATACAAAGCATGATAGTCACAACAGACAACAATTCTTCTGCAAACTCCTTGAAGATATAGAGAGCATGGAAGTAACACTTACTGTATTCCGCTACCGGATGAGCATGTACCGCTTTTTGTACAAGTTCTACGACTCCCATTCACACCATTGCTTGCTATTGCTCCTCGATCCACGTAATTTAACAAGTTAATAACACAAAAGATAATAAGCAGCCTGCACAAAACATCGCAGAATAGTTCATTACGCCTTAACAGCGTCACTTTTACAGGCCTTCCAGATATATATGATCCAATTTCAGAGCCCAAGAAGCTATATAAACAAACCCCAGGAAGCAAATTACACTTCCATTAATATGATCATTAATCTGATGAAAACTTTCCCGGTATTCTTGATAAAAACTCAGAATTTAAACAGTCATAAAAAAAAAAAAACACATCCTTTAAACGAGAATTTGTCTCAAGTCTCACTTAAAAATGGAAACAAAATATTACAATCTAATTCCACTAAAATGGTCATTAACCATCTAACTTTATCTATATTTTCTCAGCAACCAAATCCGGATTAAAAAATAAAAAATAAAATAATATTAGTACTCATAACTCCCATTTGGTAGCCGAAAAAAAATAAATAACAGAGGAAACAAAGAAAATCAAAGTGCAATTCTCAACAACTCTCATGGCCCAAAAAATTCCTAACCATTGTGAGCCCAAAGCCAAAAATTCTCAAATTTTTCTCCGGACCCAAATGAGAGAACATGCAAAAGATCCCAATAAACCAATATATATATATATATATACACACACACACATAAACTTATTTCTTTCCCCATAATGTCCCAGCAACCAAAAAGGGTAACAAACAAAAACCCAAGAACAAAGACAGAAAAAGAAATCAAACAATGACACATTGAAAGCAAAGTAAGCACCGTCTGGGGGTGAACCAGGAAGGTGTAGCAGGAGAAGCAGCACCGGAAGAACTCGCCATGGGCGTCTCCGCAGAAGACTTGGCCTCTTCAGAAGGCTTCTTCTTCTTCTCTGCTTCGTCTTGAATTACCATAGAATAACAGAGATTCTGATAATTAATAATTAACAATAAAAAAAAGAGAGAATATTTGTTGATTATTTGGATGTGGAAGGGAAGGTGTTGAAGGTTGGTTTCTTTTTTTGACTTTTTTTTTAGGGTGTGGATTGCTGTCGTTGCGTTTTGGAAACCAACGAATTACTAAAGTATTTTTTTGTATTTATTTTTCCAAAAAAAAAAAAGTGGAATTTTGCTTTGCTGAGTGTGATTGGATTGGTTTAGTTGGATTTAGTTTCTCGAGAGGTTGATGAATACGATAAAAATAGGGGACTTTGGTTGTCAGTCGTCCTCGTTGAAGCAAAAATACACTTATTGCCTTGTTGTTTTTTCTTTTGTTCGCCTTCCTTTTTTTTTTTTTTTTTTTTTTTTTTTAAGAAAAAAAAGAATTTTAGGATAAGGCATTAAAAAAAATCTATTAATAAGAGGTGAATATGAATATTTAAATAACATTAAAGTAGTATTAAAATTTGAAAATGTATGATGGTTTAAATTATTGAATTTGATAAAAATCTGTTATTTAGTTTACGATTGTGTCTATGACCCCTTTTCACATTATTAGGAATGGTAATGGGCAGTAAGAGGGCGAATATGCTTTTTCCACTCCTATATAGTGGTAATTTGGGTTGGTAGATCGGGTTTGTGTCGGATTGAGAGTTAACATTTATAAAAATGACTTCAATCCTAACACGACTTACGTGACGAATGGTTTAAGAAATCTCAACCCTAACACGACGTGCCCCAATATGGTTGACACTAACATGATCCGTATGAACTCATAATTTTTATGACATATGACCCATAATTAACTTGCAACACACTCAATCCGAAATTAACTAGTAACACGTAAATGAACCGTGATCCCTTTTTACTTTAAATATATAATTTATGGACTAAAATCATATAAAAATAACATACAAATACATATATTCTAAAAATTAAATCAATCTCATACTATAACAACTAATTCCTAAAAATTCAAAACACATCAACCAAAACAAGGAAAAAAAATATAATTTTAAGACAATAGAAGATTTGAGTGGGTCAATTTAGTATCACGTAGGTTAACACGAACACGATCCCTTTTTTACAGGTCAATTTCGGATTGACACTAAATGACCTATGGCTTATTTTTTCAACACTAACCCGTAAAAAACGTATCATGTTCGCATCGTGTCATAACCAGTATTACCAACCCTACTCATATCCTACTCCCTTTTGCCCCTTATACCCACCTCCATACTCGCCTAATTTAAGACAGAGTCGGGATCGAAAATTCTCTACTAGGGGAACAATTCTCGTGCCCTACCCACTTTTTATCACTCGTCCTCACTTTTAGCCTTTGTTGTTCTTTTTTTTTTCAAAAGTTTACCCTACATTTCTCCTCGTCCATACTTTTCCCTTTAAAAAAGTAGTGTTCAAGATTTGTATCCCTCCCTTACTTTTAATTAATACTATTTTCACTAATATAGTTTTTTGACTTCAAGGTCTTAATTAAAAGTGATAGGTAAAAATCTTAAACTCATGCATTTTAAGAAGTATTTATCTCTTATATATATATATATATATATTAGTTAGTGCCACGTGCTTCGCACATACGAGTAATTTTACAGATTCTATCCACATGTTGAAGTTTTAATTTTACTATGTTACTATTTTTCTAGTTTTTTAGTAATAAAGATTTTAATTGGCTACATAATATTATAACATTATATTTGGGAGAATGAAATATTAGGAAAAAAATTTGAGGAATATTAAAGTATAAATAAAATATTATATTGTTTAGTATAGAGAAAATTAAGAGAAATATGATTGTAAAATTCATTTCACCATTTCTTAATTTTTTCAATTTGAAAAAATAAACAAAACAGAAAAAGAATGTTACAAAGAGCACACCGGTATAACACAAATATTTTTCCATTAGTTCTACTCATTCACTCAATTTGTATAAGATATAATATTATGAACAAATTAATATTTTAAAGGATGACAATAAAATTTTTCAATGAGAATGTACTATTAAACATGGAACAAATAAAAGAAATTTTTTTTAATAAAGTAGATTTTTAAACATTCAGCAGTAAAGAGAAAATTCTAAAACATAAATTTAAAGAAAAAAAGTATGAGAAAAATGACTCAACAAACCCCTCAAAACGGTTTTAGCACATATGAAAAAGTAGAGTCCACAAAAGACTCCACAAGGAGGGAAAAAAGCAAAACAACAACAACACCAGCAACAACAGTAATAATAATAGTAATAAAATATAAAATGACTTAACTGGTCGCTGAACAATTCCAAAAAAAGAGAAGAAGTAAAAGTCACAAAAGAAATAAATAGAGAGACAAAGTTTTCTGATATATAGCTTCAAATTTTTCTTCACAAAAAAAAAATGAAAAGAGAAATTATCTTTGAGAAGAAAAAACACATTCAAATGTAAATGTATTTGAGAAAATTATTTTATTTGATGATTATTTAATCTATTTGAAAATTGAAACAAATTATTTTAACAGAGTTAAATTAAAATGTAGAGGTGTCCACATGGTATACACACCCTATGTAGTGTAAATTTATCAGGAATTCAGTTGCTTACTCTCTAAGTTATCCAATTGACTTATTTGATAAGTTGTCCAATTTAAATTCAAATCAAAATTAAGTTTGACTTAAATTGAAATTTGAGTCAAAATTGTACTGCAGGATAAAAGCATAATTTTACCTTCTTCCCTACCTGCTGCTATTTATGCCTACCACGGGGAGGAATCTTGTTGTGGTGGCCGGCCATATAGGATAAGGGAGAGTGAATTTTATTTCCAAAATCAATTAGAAGTGAGAGATAATTATTAAGCTTTGTCTTGGAGATAAAGTTGACTTCTTCTGAGAGTCTGACTACCACTCTATAAATAGATTGTAGAAAATTAGAGAACACAATTTTTATTCTCCCTAGCATAGTGGCCAAATTTTATAGAGTGAGGAAAGGAAAAATTTTCTCCCAAATTTCACGTCGTACATGTGTTGGTGTTCGTGAAAAACTTGAGTGTTCATTTACTAATCTCGTTTTGTTTCAAGTGTGTCCACACACGTCTTCGTAGATTCAAGGAATTAATGAGAAAAATTCAGGTATTATAAACAAGCTTAGAGCGAGGAACGTTTGTGGTCAAAGAACTCAAGTTATCGACCTAATCGTTCGCTGGGTAAATAAATTAATTTGATTAATTTTTTCATGCATAAATTAATATAATCTATAAAGTATCTCAAAGTTTTGTGAAAATTTTTATTTTATATGATCCGTTAGATACACGTTTTCGCATTGAAAATCGTTTTGAAAATCAACAGGGCCTACTACTTGTACTACATAAATCTAACTATTACATATGATCAAAATCACATCATAATGAAAAAGTATGATGAAAAGATAATTTCTATTACATATTTGATGGTTAAAAAAACAAAAGCCTACCAATACCGTAGAAATCTCTTTTGAATTACTAGAATTCTTAACTCTAAATAGGTTATTACTCAATTAGCAAAAAAATTGGTTATTAAAGCGTTCATCACTAGTCACGCCGGAGCGTTTGGGTTAAAAAAAATTAAATTTCTTAATTTTTAATTTTTTAATATATATTTTTGTATTATTAAACAATTGTCATGGCAGCTTAAATTTAGGGGATGTCACAGAAATGGTATTTTTACTAACGTTTTAGAATTTAAGGGATGTGTAGACCATTTTTTAAAGTTTAGGGTAAGATGAATAAGAGATCATGTTAGGGGTAAAAAATGAAATTTATCTCAAGAATAATAATAATAATAAGTCTTAACTCGAGGTCAATGAAGTAAAGTTGTAAACAAGAGTAAGGGTTCATTTGAGATAGTTTATGCTTGTGCTTTTAAGTAGTGGTGTCAAACGTGCCGTGTCGGCTGGCACGACACGTCCAACACCAGGCCCCTTACGGGCCTGGGCCGGGCCTGGCACGACCCTGCACAATGCAGGGCCGGGCCTGAGGAGAAAAACTCAGGCTCAGCCAGGCCTGTGGCCCTAGTCCATAAGGGCCGGGCCTGGGCCCAGGCCCTTCACGGGTCGGCCCCGGCCATTGTATTTTTTTAAAAAAATTAATTAAAAAGATATCATATGCCCATAAAAGATGTGGTTTTATTGAATTGACATAATAAGAATACGTACACATAAATGACTACCTCGTTAAAAACCTTGCCAAGTAAAATCCGTGGGGAGATCGGGACAAAACCTTAACGAAGGAAAAAAAGAGTGCAGTAGCTAGGAGCCTAGGAATAGTAAATTACTAACCTAAGTGCTTCCAGAAGATTTTATTTCTAAGTTAGAAAAATATTCTTGCATTGAATTATCTGTGTATTGTTGTTTTCGTCTTCTAACATCTTCCCAGTCTTTAATACACATTAGCCCCTCCAAGATATCTGGATGCATTCTGCTTCTCTTCTTGTCAAGAATTCGGTTGCTTGCGCTAAAAGCTTGCTCTGATACTACCGTTGACACTGGAGTTGTCAGAATGTCACGAGCTATTATGAACAGTGTTGGAAAATGATCGATCTTGCTCTTCCACACTGTAAGATGTCTAGTTTGTCGTCATCGATTACAAAATTTGCTTCAAAATATTTTACTAGTTCGGTAGACGCTTGTGTTGATGACGATCCTACCGTTTTCTCTTTCTTCTTCAAGAAACTCCACGACATTCCTTTAGGCCCCGAACCGCTAGTTGACGATGAAGTTCCTTGTTCTTTTTTACCTGTGCTGTATTTTGCTTCATATAAATTAAAAATCTTTTCTAACATTTTCTTAGCGCCAGTAATAGTTAGTTGCATATCTATTCCTAAATTTTCTGCGGTAGCAGTCATCAATGAGTCAGTCCCATCTATTCCGCACCTAGGATCTAAAATGGTTGCCAATGCATATAACATAGGACAACCTGACCAATAACTTTTAAATTTATTTTCCATTAACTTAACTATGTTTCCAAAAAGTTATGTATCCCTATAATAAGAAAATGTTTCTGAAATATTAAATGGTTGATGTAAAGCTAAATGTGTAGTAGGATAATAAACTCCAGAAAGTAATTCAGTAGCATTGTAAAAAACTTCTAGAAATTTAAAGAAATACTCACCAATTTGTAAATCAGTATCAAAAATTAAAAGTTGATCATTCTTACTGTTTACGTACGTTGTGATAAGCTGTGAATACAGGAGTGCTGCCTTCAACATTAAATATGTGGAATTCCACCTATGTCTCACGTTAAT